AGTATTGATGGGTGTGTTTAGAACAGACCGGCACCAAAAGAGACAAAACATAGACAGACACAGGAAAGGGAGAAGAAAAGTGGAGAAGGTATTGATGAAAACCTGTGTCCTTCTTATTCTTTTTCATGAAAGGATTACATTGAGATGCAGGACAGCACCACTGCTTGATAGCATCGCTTTTATCACAGGACAGGGGAAAATGTGGACATTAGAAAAAGCAGCAGGGAGAATAATTGGCCAGAGCCAAAGAAAAGAGGCAGAGTGCAGAAATGTAACAATAAAGCAGGACATTTTTCCAAGGCAGCCAATTAGGAGCACTTAGGAAAGGCAAAAATCCTATTCTTTGTGATGGATTCATGAGCCGGCCTGTACCGTGGCTCTCCTACCAAAATAGTCAGGATACATTATCCGATTTGCTACTGTATGGAATAGCTATTAACCACAGTGCTGCGTCCCAGAATATTTAAAGCAGAGGGTTTTCTGATAAAGGCAGCGGGCAGTGCGGAGCAGTCACCGCTGTCGCCGATGGTGGAAGAAGGGAATGTCTCTCAGCAGCATTATATTGACAAGGGACTTCCAGCTATCAATCAGCACTGCAGAGCCACGAGTCTCAGCACATTATCATCCACTCTATTCTTGTCATGTGAGCTTCATTTCTCCCCGGACTGCATTAGGGACAGATCATACATGTGTGGTGCTAGACAGTATTCTCATCCTCTCTGAATCCCTCTTAATAAGCTTCTGTAGTCTACTGACTTATGTAACTCGTCGTGTCATAGTGCATCCACATCTGGCTTGACAAACAACATCAGCAACATGCCCTGCTGGGGAGGGGGAGGTGGAAGGCTTCCTGAACGCAGAGAGCATGTATGTGTGTGTACTAGGGGAATGTTGCATGGATGAGCTTTACATTTCATGTTGTCATGTGAGTGGGTTGCTGCAGCAGTGATGCAGAACTATGGGAATGTGGTGGGATTACTGGAGCTGGGCACATTTCACAGTTTCCCATAGATTACACAAGGAGTTGATGGGCCGGTTAATAGATGCAGGAAGCCTGCATGACACTATGACCCCTGCTGTCTAAATGGGGAACTGCAAATGTTTTAACATGATAAATGCAAATGATGTTTTGGTTTACAGAAATAGAGCTATATTTTCAGGGGCATCAGTTCTGATTTCATGCTTGTACATGCATGATGAAATTAAAGTGAACAAGATATTACATATCATGCATGGAATTACTCTCTCTAATTAGTCACAACCTCACTCTTGTCCCCTATATCCTAATTATCTGCAGGGTAAGATTAGGGAACTCTGCCCTGTGAGTGTGTGAGTGTGGCTTGATGCACTTCCAGAGTATGGTCGTGGTGGAGAGCAAAGCTTACTGAAGCAGGTAGAACAGATGTAATCAGACACAAGGAATGAGGAAGGAGGTTGTGTGTGTGGGCGGGGAAGGTCTGGATGATACTCTGCATCATAAAAAGGTTCTACCCATCTTAGGAATTCTCCGCACGGACCCTACATATTATCTTTCTCATCTGCTTTCATTCGCATTAATTTTTTGGCTTGCGACACATGAAGAGGGAAGCTAGCTAGCCAAGTCTCCGAATAAGTCACGGTTAAAGAAGGAGATTTTTTTTTCGTTTTCAGTCCAAGTACCCACCACTTAGATGGAAATATTCCCTCATTGCTCTTTAAAATGTGCAACGCTCCACACATCATTAGCAATAATTCATCTGCAGACGTTGGTGGCTTGAGTGATGCTGTCAGTGGGAGCGGAAACTATTGTTTTGCTAGGGTCTAAAGGTTACCTCAAGGTGAGTTTGAGAGATGGCGATAATTACAGTAACATATTTGTATCCATTAGGGAGAGCAATAGAAGCCACTGCGGTAGGTCATCATGAAAAATCCTTGTATTATAAGGACATTTTTTTACTGTCCTGCCTGCTCTCGCAGAATGGTTTTTCTTTAGATCTTCTGAGACTACTTGAATGAAGTACAGAAAACATGAGTTCTATCATTAGACTAATTTCAGGGGCGTGATTATGAAGGGTAATTATAGGATGACTTGGGAGAGGGGTTATCACTGGTGTCATTTCAGAGGTTGAACTAAGGAGCATTGCGCTGTAGTAATGGGTTCTGTTTCCAGAGGAATGTGAGTGTTAGATTGTGGGGTGCTGACGACTAAAGCCCTTGTCAGCTCAGCGTGCGCTCCTTTTGGTCCTGGGGGATAATAGGGATCTCCCTTTCTCTCAGTTCTTAATCTCCTTTATTACCCACCAACCCCTCTGTCCTCTCTGAGTGATCTTCTGCTTTCTTTCCTGTCTCCCCTACCTTTCCCCTTCTGTCTCCCGCACTTCCCACCCTCTTGCTCTCTGGTCTGATTAATAATGAATGAAGCAGATCATCTATCGATCCCATCCTCTGTGTTAGCACAGCAGAAGATATCAAACCTGTCAGTGGATCTTAAAATAGCTCTGCAATGTGGTGGTAGCAGAAGTGTTTGTTGAGTTAAGGGTAGAAGCTTATTTTCATATGGTAGGAAGGTGGCAGTGAAATGGACATGAACATTGGTGGAGCAGTGGGTCAGAAATAAATGGAGGGAGGACACACAGTCCTGAAATACCTTGCTAAAGGATAAAACTCCCCTATAAAGCAGAAAGTTGATGATCTGTGATAAGTTTGAAACTGAAGGTCTCTTATATTTCTTTATTAAAACGTGTCTACGCCAAGTTTGATGCTACTGTTTGTCCCGAGTCTCAGAAATTCTCCACTCAGCCATTTCTGGCCTGCTGCTCTCACTTAATCAATCCAAAAGATTGGCTTTGCTCTCTGACAGGGGACAGACTCTGTCCAGACCCTGATGGAGACTAAGAGTGATGTATATCTGTCACAATTGGTTAATCTCACCAGCCAACATTATGCAGTGTTCAGTAGCCCTTACACTGAGTACAGAGAGAGGGAAAGTGCTGCAGGGACATGATCACTTACAAAGAATGGTTTAACTGTTGGACATGATCCAAGTTCTTCTAATTTGATTTTCTGTTGTCTATACACATTTGGCCAGTCACGGACAATTGGCATTACATGAGAGTGGCCTATATTAATAATCTCATTTAGGGGATTGGAGGGTGAAAGATCTTTCTGTTGTTTAATTTGAGTCTGGAAAAAACCAACAAAAAAAACCTAAACATGTATCGTAAATATAAATGTAATACTAGTTTGTGACCCTTAAAATCTAGTTTGTTTTCAACCTGTTTTTCTAAGATTTAGAGGTCCTATAGATGTGAACTTTCTCACACCTCAGCGTTGACTCTGCCCAAAAAAATGTTTTGTTTTAAGTCAATTCATTAATTTGGGCCACTGAGAAACCACCCCTTGGTTTAAATGCTCAACTTTGGTATTTTGGCTGTGCCGTTTCTTTGCTTGTTTCTGCTGTAGCTAATGCTAGCAATTGCTAGGTAGCGTGTTATAGCCATTATGTTCTATGCTCAAGAAATGGCACTCACTATATGTCAAAAAGAAAATGCTATATTGTTGTCACAACAGGTTAAATTTAACTACAGAAACAAAAACTATTTCCACCGGGCCTTTAACTAAGGATGTTATTGGCAACTAGTCTTCTAATTGTCGAAAAAGATACAAAATCCTGAGAAAAGATTTGAAGGTGAGCATGCTTTAAAAATACAAAATTAAATATTGGTCAAATGAGTATTCAGTCTGCATTTTAAGAGCTGAAACTGTTAAACACGTTTATCGTTATGTCCCAGTCTAGCTGTCCCCAGGCCCAATAGGGTGTCCCCATCCCTGTCCCCAAAACCAGACCTAATAGCTAATATAACGTTACCGTTGCTAGAAGTGTCGCTGAAATGTGCAGAACTTCAGATTAGTTTGGCCTCTGCAGTGCTAGCAGCTGTAGCGTTAGCTTCTTCCATGCTGGCGTTCACGTCCCAGTACAGAATATAGTTACACTTGACTTCACTGATTTTTATTGTATTTTTTAAAATTAAATTCAGCCATTTACTTTACATCATGTTACAACGTCTAATTACAAAGAGAGCAAAAAAGAGGGTTTAAAGAGAGGCGGTGGTGCAGCCATTTGTCAGGGCTGAAATTTTGGGTAGCGGACTGTGGCTTCGTAACATCTTTTAACTAGTAACTGCCACTGTACATTGATAAAAAAAAAGAATAATAATTTTAACCAACTGCAGTTGGGTAATTTCCACATAGGTGTCTACTTTTTGGAAACTGTGGTGTTTGGCTCTGCAATGGGCGTCTGTGTCTATGTAACTTTTATTTAACCAGGAAACACATTAAAAACAACTTCTTATGCATGTCATAATTATAAGCTTAACACAAATTAAATGCGGTATGCATGTCATAACCAATTATGGCATACATATTGCAGAAACAGTGATTCCAAACGCTGGTAAACTTTACCAGTATTATCCTCACCCCTATAATCATCCCAGGCTCAGCATATTGTGATGTCTCTGAAGCAGTTCCTGCACTTTGATGTCATTTATATGTACACACAGCAATGTATGTGTTCACACTGCAGTGTGTTGGTGTCATTGTTTAGGTGTCTTTCATCTTCTTTTTCCATCTATGCATTTTCCCTTTGGGTAGTTGTTATGTTTAGCAGAGATGTTAATGCTTTTTCTCACATCTATATTATAGTCTGCACCTTTTCTTGCTGTTCTTAAAAGACCGGAACATCCACGCTCTCAAAGAAACACAAGTTCAGATCTAATTCTATCCTTCCTTTCCCTCCGGAAACAGCCACCTCATTAATGTGTTTCACAGTATGCATCCCATATTTTTCTTTTTGTTTTTTTTCTGTTTCCTTTTTAGTCTGGGCTGACATGCAGTGTAGTCCAAGTTCAAAGACTTGCGATAATTTAGAAATATTCTCATCACATTTGCAGATTACTTTTTCTTGTTATGCTCAGTTTGACAATATGAATGCAATTCTTCTCCTATTCCATATCTCGTTTCAGGAGCACTTCACTCCTGAGTGCAGGTTCAAAGAGAGCGTGTTTGAGAACTACTACGTTACGTACTCCTCCATGCTCTATCGGCAGACCCAGTCTGGCCGCTCCTGGTATATCGGTATCAACCGTGACGGTCAGGTCATGAAGGGCAACCGGGTAAAGAAGACCAAGGGAGCGGCACATTTCCTGCCTAAAGTTATAGAGGGTATATTAAAAAAAAAAACTATACTGAAATAGTTTATTTCTCAGTCATTAATCATTAACTTAAATTGCTAACTGACAACTCCTATCTTTGTTACACAGTTGCAATGTATAAGGAGCCATCGCTACACGAGCTAGTCAGTGAGCCAGTGAGCCCACCTCGGAAGACGGTGAAGACATCAGATTCGCCGTCCCTAAAGAATGGACAGAAAGAAGCTCCCAAGGCTGAGGCCTCATAGCACAGGAGAATGAGGGTGGGACAAAGGGTAGCAGTGACACTTGAAACAAAGTTGCCCACTATGCACTGAGGGTGGCTGGGGGAATGGTCCTCAGCGGCCACCTCATTCCAGAAGTGCACTCCAAGATGCTGAGGGATAAAGAGTCAGCAGTCCATCAGCAGCCAAGAAGACCTAAGAGAGGAGTCCCCCCTCACCTGAAACCACAAAAGGAAAGCCCAGGGTCTGAGCCAGAACTCCTACCACCGCCACCCCACCCTTTCTCCCAGTGTCACTTCTTTCTGTACCTGTTGTGATTTGCTTACGTGCAGCCCCATTTATTTCTCTGTCAGGATCAAGCTTCTTTGTCTGCTGACAGTTTCATCTTTTCTCATATGCCTTCCCCATCATCAGCTCTATTGTACTGTATAGTCACCACACACACACATCCAGCACTGACTCCGCAGGATAATCCTCACCCATGGGCTCCCTCTTGAGCCCTAAAGTTGGTGACAGTGTGGCTCAGCCAGCTTTCCACCCACCATCTGCCTACCAGCTAATCACTAAGGTCAACTAAAGCTCAAAGTGAGATGATATGGCTTAGAGACGAAAGAAATCTGCAGGAAGCTTGGGTCGGGTCAGGTCAGCAGCAACTAAAAACGAATCCTTTTCCTCTTTTGTTTGCTTTCTTTGCTAGCTGTGATAATAACCGGATGATGCTAAAAACATTATATTGAATAAGCAGAGAGGTGGGGATGGTTGCTTCAGTCCTGCTGGAGATAAGAAAGCGGAATATTTGAATTTCACAACAAATGCTATAAAGTTCAGGAGCAAGGAACTGGTTGGTGTAGGTGTAAGCAGTGGTTCCCAGTAAAATAAATTAATAACCTGAAGCAGCTACTCTTCTTGGGAAGATGAGCCATAAAATATAATTTACTTTCATGTATTTTTGTTTTTGTTTTTCCAGACTCTAATGGAAAGGGTCAAAAGGCTTGAGCAATATTTATACCAGCAAAAACAAAAACAGGGGCAGCATAGGTAAGTGAGACAGTGTATGACACCCTCTTTCTACTGCAGTAATCTCTAACAGGTGATCGCTAATTATGGCGCTCGCTCATTAAAGGCTACAAATGAAACAACTGGCTCATATTTTAAACCCAGGGTGGATCAGTCACCTGAAAAAGCACGCCAGTGTACGCTTTGCTCGGCATCTGCTGTCAGAGTAAAGCCAGGTTTGAAGCCCAACATCAAAGCCGAAGGAGCCTCTGAGTTGGAGCACTTGTTATTCTGAGGATGTCTGGCAGCTTATCCACTCACTAGCTTTATCAAATCACCTTGGAAGAATTGCCCTCAAAAATGTAGTTGTCTGAGTGAACGTCTTGCTGTGATTGTGTTTTAACCCCCTTATGTCGCTGTCTTTTAGAGTATAAATGTTAGGTAAGATTCTCTGTGAATGATGAATGTGAAGGATAGAAAGAGAAACTGTGGGTAACCTCTACTATGTCCTTCAGACACAGCACAATGTCTTTGACATGTCTGTGTCGTGGAATAGGTGATACTTTGTACCACTCATCACATCTTTTGTGTGATGTGTATATATTTTAAATGAATGAGTGTCCTCAAAGGAATCTTCATTAAATGTAACTTTTTTTTTTAGTTTCAATTAACCGGTATTTTGATTGCATCGAGACTGAACTGCATGCAATTTTAGAATTGTATGCAACTGACCTGATACAAGGTGTCTAAATGGGAGATGTCAGGGATATTTCAGTAATGGCTGCTGTTGGGTGCTGTCTGCTCTGGTAAGTCACTGAGGGGAAAAACAAATGTCACCACAATGTTCAGTCAAAGTGAATGGTGCATGGATACTACCAACAAACACAGACAGCGTTAAGTCCCTCGCTATGACAGGAAAGAGCAATGTTGGGAGATGGGGAAGCCAAACGGGGAAAAAAAATGCCTATTAGATGGCTGCTAAAAATTCCCCGATAATTCTAGGAATTTCTGTGCATTGGCAATAGAGTTTAATTTGAATGGTCACATAATGTGCAAATGTGCAGACATGCTACAGAAAGTGAAATAGAGGCTTTACGAATGTGCCGTATTGAGGGTGAAAAGTAAGTCAGAAATTGTGTGCGGAATTGTAAAGAAGTCATCACACGGTGGCGGTTATTTAGGAAGAGTGACGGATTAGGAGGTGTATTCTTGAGGAATGTTGATAAGGAATGTGTGCAGTAAAGTAAGCAAGAATTTTGGCAGGATTGCGCGCGGCATGTGGGTATGATAATGAATGTGAGACAAAGAGGCACTGTGTGCTATTTAGGACAGAGGGTCTATGGAGGAAATTAGTTGGAGGGCTTTTCATTTTTTTATCAAGTCTTTCATTTTTCTGGGCTTTTCCAGAGGGAGCTTCACTCAGTTTAAATTTGGATATTTTGTCCTTGCATTGCAGACCTACAAATATCTATTTTGGAAACCCAATGTTCTGCCTCTCGGAGGAGTCTGGTACAGCCTTGTATGGGTTCTAACCATGCATTACTAACTACTGCATGATATAAATGTGTCTGCACAGCAGGCAGCACACGATTTTGAATTCTGAAGTTGATCACAAGTTCACTCTATGAAAGGAAAGTACTTGAAGCCCAACGCAGTGAATGACTGACAGGAAAGGAATGAGATGTAATAGCTTTTTTTTTTTTTTTTTACCAGACTTGCAACTAATAGGAACTTTGAAAACACAAAAGAGTATAAAAATGTATATTTCTGAAGCTCCAGTTCATTTTTTAAAGAAGATTTTAAGAAATAACCCTCAGCACCCTTTGTCGCTTGATCCAAATTCCTCCGTAGATTCCTTAGTCCCAAAAGCCAATCAGTCCTCACCTCTGTAGTAATGACGAATGCCACAGTAAGTTGTCTGATGGTGATACTGCAAGTAGACAGCCTAGATCAGAGAATGTCAGGTCTGACGTGAAATGAAGAACAAAGTTGAATGCTTTACCAGAGGGGCTAAATGGAAAAGTATGGCTTTATGGCCATGAAGCAATGTTCTGCAATGTAGAGAAGTTAAGCAATGCAGCTGTTAAGTGAAACTAGTCATGCTCTTGAATGGAAAAGATAGGATAGGAAAAAGACATGGTGGTCCTAAAAGTAGAAAAGCTGTTAAGAGGATCTTTGTTATTGTAGTTTAAAGTCTGAATTGTTCTGCTTTGCAAGTGAGAATGCATTTATGAATACAGGTCTCGCAAAGCTAACAGTAAGGTGGTGACACGGAAAATTTTAAAAAAAAAAAAATGTTATAGTCTGCGTGCCCACACATGAGAGGTTTAAAGTCGTAATCCCTATCCCACACAGATCCCTTAACCGAGTACCTACAGCCCATTAAGTTTCTTCTCAACATCACATTGCCTGTGTAGGTGTGCATACCTTTAGTGTCTTTATAAGGTCTCTGTGTGTGAGTGTGTGTATCTATGACTAACAGTATGGTAAGACAAGACAGAGAGGCGAGAAAAAAGAAAGGGCATGAGACTGAAACAATGATCGATAGACTCAATAAAACGCAAACGAAAAAAACATCAACCCTGCAATAGGTGCAAAAATCTCCCCAAGGTCTGCCAAAGACAGGGAAATCCATTTGATCATGATGAACTCAGAGGGCTGTTGTTTGATTTCAACCTGTAAACTCAACAAAGGAGCCACATGGACAACCCCCGGTGGCTTTTACACTGGATGATGAATAAATAGTTTTCTCTCATTTTGGAACAGTGTGAGCAGCAGTAGCCGTAGTCTGCTTCGAGACACACATCTGCGAAAAGTAAACCAGTTAAACCAAAGGTAAACTGAACCTTAGAAGCAGCAGTTTTACTGCACTGTACAATAACTAACCAACATCCAGGGAATTCTTTGCAGCAAACCCTGGTAACATTTCATTTGACATGCGCAAAAACAAAACGGCCTTTTCAGGCATAGCATTTATCCATGCGCTACACAAATTCAATCTGAGCCATGCACCTTTTTGAGTTTTACATTTTACAAAATCTATTTTACCTGCATGCAGGATTTTCTTATTGCTTTCTAATGAACACTAATGATCCTCAAAAATCCACAAAACCGTGAACCAACTTAACCTGCATTCACAGTACAGAAATGTGCGCCATGGAGTTTGTCAAATTAAAGGGAAAAATTATGTTTAACTAGCACCCTCTAATGGATGTAGTTGGTTGCTAAGAGGCAGAATTTTTAATCAGGGGCAGAAAGCCACAGTGCTGAAGGCATAACTTCAAGAATTTTTTTTTTTCTTCCACAGAATTTTAATAAGATGGCAATATATCATGACATTTGGCTGTTTGCATCATACCCTAATGTGGTTATAATGTGCTCGTCGTGGGTTCCTAATGTGGTTTTGATGCCACCGCCTTGCTATGCTGTAAGTTTAAATAGTCAAAATGCAGCATCTCACTGAATTTGATTAATGCTATCCCAATGAATTATTTTATCTATTACAACTCACAAACAATCACTAATGGTACATGACAGTGGTCCATACACAAGAGATTTAATATAAATTGGATAACACAATATGCACACCATTATAAAATACAGTTTTCTAAAAATCCTTTCCCTCTTGCATAACCTAAGTGGGGTTCAAACTGATGGATCTCATTTTTGAAGGCAGTTGTGCCAACTAAATACCTCAAAAACCATCCTAAATAAATTATAAATCAGTCCTGGAATTACAGCAGTACAAAATGGATGTGTGCCACGCTCGCTGTTCCAAGCGTTTTAAATATTCAAAACAGGACACTAACAGAAATTGAGTCTTGGCTGCAACATTGTTTTTTTAATAGTTCTTTCTGAATAAGGATTTGTTTAATGTGCAGAATGCACAAAGCCAAATATGCTGAACCTGTGGAGTATGCTGATATTTCTGCTGTTTCAGTGAGTGAATGGCATCTTTCAGGAATGCCTGAGCATGTGAGGAATCTACACAGGGTAGCAGACTGCTTCCAGACAACAGAAGCTGGATGGTTTATATGTGCAGGATGCTGTGAGTTTACATATATGTTAATACTAACAAATATTGTATATCTGATCTACTAACACATATTTTCATTTTCTTAAAACTGTGCTAACTGTGTTAGTGTTGTACTTTTTTTTTTACTGCCTTTCTGTTGTTATACCTTTTCATGTTTTTCGTTGATGTTGTTTTTATGAAGAATTGTTCCTATTTGGTTGGACTTGCTCGGTTTTATTTGTTGTATTTGCTCAGCACTGTTGAACTTACACCGATGGGGAAACTTCCCCCAAAAAGAATCTCACTGTGTGACCGAGTCAGAAAGATAAAATAAAAACAGCAGAACAGTTTCTAAAGCCAAAACGTGTTCAGCAATGACCTTGGTGGCATCAGACTTACGGTCACACGAGTCTTCCAGACGGTTTCCCACTCTTGTTCTTACAGACTCTTAACTTCTCTCTCTCAAACTGATCTCGTTGTCTTCCAAAAAACAAACAAACACTTTAAAAAATGAAAAAGATAAAGAAGCCATAAATAACACTTGGCCTTGGCACCGATTATCAACAGAGGGCAGGCCTGACTCCTCAGGCACCTCCCGAGTGTCACCAGGGATTTAAACACGGACTCCTTGCACTAAGAGCCCAAAGAAGCAGCAGAAGCAGGGACGTTCTGGCTTTTCTGGATATGCCAAGAAGCAGCAAAGCAGGAGTAAAGACCAGCAATATGCAACCAGAACTACCAGCCTGCACTCAAGGAGGGGAAACAAATCTAACATGCTAACTGCACTCACAACTTGCAGGCTATAATGACAGTCTGCAATAAGAATTACTGACATGGGTTGTTTTTTTTCTTAATTTTGTGGTTTTTGCAAAGCATGCATAATGTTCTTTGGCTCCTTACGGATGACTCCCTCTCAGTATCGACAGACACGTGCCCTCAATTCACCCTCTCTCCATGATTGCCATCAGACCTGTGTACATTTCTACAATAACTCCTACATGAAATGAAAGGAGATGTCTTATTCTGATATAATATTCAATAAAATAACATATATTTGTATGATTATAAGCAATGTTCTCTGATTTTTCTGTGTGATTTCTTTTTGTCTCAGCTTCCTTCTAAATCTTTCTTAAAGGCATTAGCTAGTAACAAAATGAGTTTCCCCTTTAATGCGCTGTAGGACATTAACATTTTTCCTTTCCTTTATTTGTCCTTGCAGTCACATTGCTTGTATTATTCCATAGTCTGATCTATGTAATGTCAAAAAATACATAAAGTAAAAAATGTTTTTGAGCCAAGTTACAATTATGTTAGAAATAAGGAAGTATCTCATTGTTTTTTTTAAATGTAGGTCAGAGTTGAGCTACGGGAGACAAATAACAGAGGGTGGCAGCTCAGGATGAATCAGCTGACCTGCCCCTATTCTTCCCTTTGTTTCTCTAAAGAGCATGTGAGATTGTACTTCGTCCCTCATTTCCTAGTCAAATAAACTGCACCTTCATGATAAATTTTAAATAGTAATGTTGACAGCACTGGGTCAGAATATGTTGACTACAGTAGTTATAAGACAGCATGGGTATTTCAAGTAACAGCTAAAAGATGGGCAGAGGTTAACCAGTCTGCAAAGAACAATATCATTTAGATAATTTCATAATTTACATAAATCAATTAGGATACAATTAATAAAAGGAGAAAAAATAGCAGTAGCAAGAGAACATCACAACAGGCAGAGTAACGTATGCTAAGCACAATGATAACAGGAGAACAGTTTTGGTTAGTTCCTAATAAGATGCTGTATTTACAGTGCAAATTAATGACCTGTGTCAAACCTGAATTAACACCTGAGAGCCCGTAAACTGCACACAGAAAATCACTTTCCATCTATAGTGTACTGCTAGCTAAATATTAGCAGCAATCACTGCATAAAAGGGTGATTGTTATTGGAATCGTGTAGTATCAACAGGCATGTGCTGATTTTTATATGCCACCTTACTTTATCAAAGCTTACTTAGCTTACCCAGAATCAACTGACAGTACTGCAAGATCTTATCAAACCCACCTGCTAATTGCTCTTCTTCTCTTAAGAGTATAAGTAAGTGTCCTGGCTCAAATTAATTATACTAATAATAACATAGTTTAGCATCATTTTCTGGAATTATTTTCAAATCTTATATTTTCCGAACTTGTCTATTGAGGACAATACAGGATAGAATGAAAACAGGTTTTGTGTCCTGTGTTGTTGATGTCATGATGTTGCAGTGCACTCACACAAAAGCATGGCTTGCCATTAATGGTTGCTGCAGGAGAAAGAAGATGAAGAGGTAATTTCATGACACACATCAGTGATGTAGATTTAAAACACACTTTAACTGAAATACAGCAAAAGTGTAAACTGTTTTGATAATGTGGGGACATTAGTTACGTTAGCTAGCTAACTAGCTAGTTAGCTAATAATCTTTAGCTACTTACCGTATATCACTAAAGGTTATTAGCTAATTGTAACCTTCTGATCCACTGGTCTGCTTGTATCTCATGAGTTGCCAGCCAAGGAGCTAATGTGTTATTATTTCAGTCTGTTAAAACATTTCTATTCCTATTTTGATCAAATTGAGCTTCAGTGTTTGTTTACAATACAGCTCCAGATCCTGGTGATAGCAAGTCAAAATGATGTTACCTGTCCATGTCCAACAGCAGCCTGTATTCAGTCTGAATATTGCTATAAACTGAAACAGATCCATTTATGTATTTTATTCACTGTAACATGTAAATTTACGAAAAATGATGAAGCTGTAGTTTCTGTTTTCCACACATCCATCGATGATGATTTCACATAACTAAACAGTGTGCTGTCCTGTTGTCAATTGTGGACGCCCCACTTGCTCTTATAATAATTATTGTAAGATTATATATATATATATATATATATATATATATATATATATATATATATATATATATATATATATATATATATATATATATATATTTATTTATTTATTTAGGGGTGCAACGATATTCGTATCGATATTATTTATTTTTTTTGAGGTGTACACCTCACCCCTGGCGTCGTTGCCCACCTCTCAATTTTAAATACACGTAGACATTGAGGGCTAGCAGGAGGGACTATGCGCTTACCTGCTGCTCTCTGGCAGGTAGCTCCATGCCCTCCTGGGTTTTAAATGCACCTTAGAACACACATGCATCAACACTACAATGAGCGGGTGGAGGGAGGTTTGGAGTCTTCTCTCACCCCCATTCTCTGCGGCCTGCTGGAGCGGGGGGGCTAGGAGGAGGAGTTGGCCGTCCGACTGCGGTCTGGAGTGTGGGGCCTCCCTGCTGCTGCGGAGTCGGGGCGGTCTGCCTCTCCCCACCGCAGGGAAAAGGGTAACACCACCTGGGTCTGGGTGCAGTTCCCCCCTCCAGGGGCAAGGGTACCTAGACCCGGTTTGTAGAGTACGCTTGGGGAGTGTGATTGTGTGTACAGCGTCTCTTTATGTCTGTCTCCACGTTGGTTGAGTGTGGAGTAAGTGCATATGAGAGCATGAGGGTGGGAATGGATGTTTGTATCTGTGTGTGCCTGTATGTCTGTGTCTATATGTCAGGTTGGGTATCAGACGCCACCTCTCTGGGGACATCTCAGGCCCTCCAAGGTATTGGAGGCCTATCTCCCCCCACCACCACTTCCCCTGCCGGTGGCGGACTCCCTCAGACATTGGTGCGTTGGTGGTTCTTTGTGTCCGGGGATGGGCGTCCAGGTACACACCGGCTCACTCCTTGGCGGCCGCTTATCGGGGCCTGGAGCCTGGGGCTCGCTCGGTGCCACTTCGGAGGTGGGGTGCCCCCGGCCTCTCGGCCTGGGGCTCGGTCACTCAGGCGCAGCTGGCTGCCGGCGGAGCTCACGGGCGCGTCACTGCAACTCCCCCTGGCTTCTGCTCCGCGGCTGCTGAGTGAGCCCTCATCTGGGACTCTCCTCAGCTCTTTACTGGGACAGTGGCGCGGCTGCCCCTCTGTTGGTCTTCCTTGGTCTCTTGTGTTCTGGGGGCCTCTGGATGTCTGGAGTTTTGATCTCCTCCATACCTGCTTCATGCCCTGGAGGACGGGGCTGTGGCCCCCCCACACCCTCTAGCAGATCATTACATGAAGGAACCTTTTAAAAAAAACATCATGCTCACAGGTGTACACACGGGTGATCACACCCACAAACTACACCCTTTTTGGCTCCTACCTCAAAGCACACTGTGTTCTGTTGATCTTATGTGCTGCACAATAATGTTTAATATTTAGTATTTACTGTCATATTCCCATATATCATTGTGATGTTGTTTATTCTATTACTCTTGTTCTCTTCTGCTTGTTTTCTTTTTTCTTTCTCAACAGGTGATCCAGGTGATGATATATGCATTTTTTTTTCTTTTCTGCCCGTTCTGTTGGTTTTTGTTTTTGCCCTTCTCCCCCGTCCCTCTTCTCAGCTGTTTCTCTTTCCCTCTTTCTTTCTCCCCTTCTTTCCCCCAGTCAAGTCTGTCCCGTATTCAGAAGTGAAAATAAAATAAACAATAAAAGGTGAATCTAAATGGACCATTACGGCAAGGCTGGGATGGTCAATTTGGTAAAGTAAATCCGTTGGGCATCTTTCTTTGCCTTTAGACAACAATTCTGATGGCAAAAGAGCCAAACGGGACGGGCAAAAAAAAATAAAAGAAAATAAAGATTATATTTTTGTCATTTTCTAGTTTCTAGTTGAATGAGGAGGGTGGAGATAGAGGGGGGAGAGGACAGGTTGCACAAGAACAGGAAGAACGAGGGACCAAATAGTGAAGTTAACTGGAAAAACAAAAGTTATTTTTCACAAAGTAGTTTTTTTTTTCATGTATTTCAGTGATGCTCAGTGTGCTTTCCAGTAGCACACTTAAAAAAACCCAGTGGACATTGTAAACATAGCCTATTGATATGAATGACAGGTTTTTACAGGATTCATGTCACTCTAAACATGGCTTGAACAGGATGGATGCCATTACATTGACATGGACTTATAAATGTATTCTCCACTCGTGAAATCGGGGTACATGATGCTCTGTGCTGTGTCTGCTTAATAAAGGGAGGGTTTGTACTGTATGAATTGAAAAACTTTGTGCACATGTCTAAGGAGTGGCAGTGTGATTTTCCAGTGTCTGTACTGAATAATGCCACTTTAAGCTTGATGATTTGTTGGACTTATCTGCTTTGCCAAAAATGTTTCTTTAACTTCCTTAAAGACTTAGCCTTTGCCTTGTGTTTAATAACTAAAGGCTCCACGCTAAAACGGGTGGATTAGATTGAAATCTCTGATCATTCACGCTGAATTACACTCAAAAAAGAACTATTTGAGTGAACATTAAAAAATAATGGAAAGGATTTCCATGTGATTAAATTGGTTTATTTTAGCATTATACAGTTCTGTTATTCCAACTTAATGTACTTGAGTGTGACCAACTTAATTAATTAATGATGAATCAACATATTTACTTTAGTTGAGTTCAGCTTAATTCAATTGAGTTGATCCAATACATGCAAATTATGTTAGTCCAAAGAAAGTACATAATGCTACTAGAAAGGCATTTATTAACATGGAAATCTTTTCCATGAGTATTTTAAGTTCATTTAAAGAATTATTTTTGGAGTGTTCAACAAATCAGAGTCTGGTTAACATAAAGCTTGTCATGCGCATCTTTTTTCCCCCTCCAATTTATTGGATTTAAGAAATGCCATCACTCTTGTCTATCCTTTTCTGCTTGTCCTGGGGGGTAACTGCACGTACCCAGAGAGACACAACAAGGAGAACATGCAGACTCCACACAGAAAGGCCCTGGCCAGTTGGTGGATTTGAACTCAGAACTTTCTTGCACTGATATAACAGTGCTAACCACCATGCCACCAAGCTGCCACTCCATACTTTAAAAGAAGTTGGAAAGCTGTGAATTTGATACAGAATTTTCTTTATGTTGTTGTCTTTGACAGGTTAAACCACAATAAATAGCAATAGCATACACATGGTGTATGTATGCTTTTCTGCCTG